CTGGGAGGTTGGGGGAAGGCCTTCACGGCTTCCTCTGTATGTGTCTTTGCACCGCCCTCCACCCCCGCCCCCTCCTTCTGTGCTTTCGAAGCACTGGGTGTGGGAACGCCTCCTCCCGGGTCACTCGCCAATTGGGAGGAAAGGAAAGGGCCAGTGATGGGAAAGCAAGGTGGTTTCGGTGCTGGGGGAGAGTATGCTCCAGCCCCCGACTCCCTCACCAAAGTGAGTGCTTACTACCTGCGCGCAACCAAGCGCTGGGAACCCAAAGCTTTCTCTTACAGGACCCTGGGACCGTGGGGCACATCAGCTCTCTTCCTCAGCCTGGGTCCGTGTTTAAGCACTCAAAATGATTTGAATAATAATAATAAATGGAACCATTTGCCAGTTGCACTCATACCTGGTTTTCAAACTGGTAGGAGGCTACCTGCTCTCTTCACCCCTCATCCAACCGTCTCATCTGTTACCCACAGGTCACAATTTTACTCAGACCTGCATTATCATTTTCTGAATGTTGTGACAGGAGCTCCTTTTAAAATATATGTTTACTTTGACATCATCTTAAGCTATCGCACCTGTATAATCATGGGTTGCATGCACCTTTTAAAAAGCTAGAGCTAGAACTCTGAACAAGCCAACTGGTCCCCTGAAATTGTCTTTCTCTCCAGGAGATACTTTGAAAGATAAGGCTGTTTGTTCAGGTAAGGACTGACCATCTCAGAAACTCCAAAGAGCACTTCTAGTCTGGCTATGAGTCAAAACTGATTCCATGCACGAATTTAGACTAGGAATTACTAGAGAGAGTTAGAAGTTCTTGGGTGGTATAGACAGTCAACACAGTGGCTTTTGAACCTAGTAAGAATTTTCAGTCCATCTAGAGACTCCTTCAAAGAAAGGCCAGGTGATCCTTCCAAATGTTCAGCCCTACAAAGCAGTTTTCTTCTGGTATGCAGAACTGACAGACTGACCAGAAGGGAGTTTGGGTGGAGCAATTCAATAGTTGTGGTTAAAAGCAGGTTCAGACAGGTGGGGCTGGCTACTCTTAGTTGTGGCTTCCGGCAAGTCCCTACCCTTATCTGAAGGGTCCTCTGGGGAAAAAAATGTAAACCCTGACAGCCTGCTCTTCATCAGGTAATGTGAAACCCATTGGCCCTGAGCTAATTCCAGCTCAGGCCCTTTTAGGGTAGAACAGAAATCCATCCAGTTTCTAAAGTTCTCTCTCTTTACGGAAGCAGGTTACCTCACCTTCCTCTCTTGGAGCAGCTATTGGGTTTGAACTGCCAATTTCAAGGTAGCAGCTGCTTAGCCCAGAGCACCTTCAGGACTCCTCCAGCGTGCACTAGACTCATCTGGGCGCGTAAATAGTTAACATGGTGCTTTGTCCATATATGAAAGAGAGCTTTTTTTTTTTTTAACTTTTCATTTTGTCCATCTAAGGTGACCAGATTTTAACATTGGTAAAGTGGGACACCATTGATAAAACTCATATCCTGGCGAAATAGCCACATGGCAGCCGAAAACCGTATACCCTAGCTTGTCGTGCATTTCTTTCCAAAAATCGAGACTTTTTAAAAATGCCACGGGATGCAGGAAAGATTGTTAAAAATCCGGACTGTCCCGCCAAAAGCGGAACATCTGGTCACCTTATCCATGACTGCAACACATTTTCAACCTCTCTTCCGTGCTGGACACATACACCTATCAGAACACGACTAGGTCCCACCCTGGCGGGCTCAGCCTGTGGTTGGAAGTGAACAAACAATTTCAATGGACTGAAACGATTGCTGAGCTGTATTTTGCGACTGACAGCTGAGATGGAGCAGGAAAAGGCTTTCTGAAGGCAGCGAGAACTGAGCAACCTGAAGGATGAAGAGACTTCAGTTGTAGGAAGTCCAGGCTCCTGACTCCATATACCCACTTTATAGATGATGACAACAGAAGCCCAGAGAAATGGGGTCATTTGCTCAATGACACAGCAGGTCGGGGCCACATGAGTCCTCAACGAATCTAAACCCGTTGCGATCTGGTTGATTTTGGCTCGCCACGACCAGCCCATGTTTGTCCGACTAAGACCTGCTTCCTAGGGTTTTCTAGCCTGGGGAGGAGGCCTGGTGGTGATGTTGGCTAAGAGTTGGACATTGAGGTCAGCGGTTCAAATCCACCAGCTACTCCTTGGGAGAAAGATGAGGCCTTCCGTTCTCATAAAGAGTTACAGCCTTTGGTATACGGCCTATACCCCCAACTCAGTGCTATAGCGATCTTAAAAGGACAGTGGAGCTGCCACCGTGGGTTTGGGTTGACCCTTTGTGGGAGTAGCAAGCCTGATCTTTCTCCTGACAAGTGACTGGTGGTCTCAAACTACAGACCTTGTGGTTAGCACCCCAACGTGTAACCACTACGCCACCAGGGCTCTTTGCCAGAAGTCCTGTAGAGCATCATGAGGCAAAATTGGAATGGCCTGCATAGCAGTGGGTTTGGCTTTTCCGTTTTTTTAACATTTACGGAAGTGGACCACCAGGTCATTCTGGGCGGAGTTCGAACCGCCAAGCTTTAGGTTAGCAGCAGACTGACAGCCTGCATCCCAGAGGATGACAGTGACCCAGTTGGGTACCAGCCCTGCAGCAGGTGTGCGCAGTGAGGCACAAAGCTAGACATTCCTCCCACAGATAAAGTCATTGCTGGGTCCCCGAGAACCACAGGAGCAGAGCAGGTATGTCGGTTTCTAGCTGCGAACCTGCAAGTCAGCAATTTGACAACTCGATCCTTGGGAGAGAGATGCTTTCTACTCCTTTCTACTCCCCAGAGTTACGGCCTCCTCGGACACCAAACACACAGAGGCAGGTTCTACCGTGTCCTGTAGGGACACCCAGTTGGAAATGGGTCTGGAGGTTTCTCCTCTCGTGTCAGGGACCGACCCAGGGTGCTCTCTTGGAAAGCATTTAGGTCAGCACTTGCAGGAGGGATAGGAGTGAAATTTCACGTGAACAAAACATGTGATGGTTTACTCTTTTAAAAAAGAAAGTAAGGCGGGGAACCCATTCACCTGGAACTTCACAGACCAGACAGGAGTGGCTAAGCATGTCTCACTTGTTTAGACAGACGAGGGGGTGTGGGGTGGGGATGGAGACAGGTATAATGCTGTCCTGCCCCACCCCTCAGGCCTGTCTCAGGCATAGCCCCCGTTTATTCTATTAAAAATAAGTTTATTGATAACATGTCACCACTGGGAGATCAGAGGCCGGGCTGAATGCCCAACCTGCACTGCCCCCATCAAAACTTCCCCCTCCCCTTTCTTCGTCACCATCTTCAGATTTGTCTTGCGAACCCCAAGCCCCTTCAGAGTCCAGGGTGAAGAGGTGGGGGGGGGGCATCCCATGGGTCAATTGTCTTCAAGTCTTGAACAGGCGTTGTGAAGGGCAAGTGACAGTGCAGAGCCACGAGGTGCTTTCCCCCCACCCAACCCTATCCCCAACAGGGGGGCGATAATAAATAACATAAAATCGATGGCTTACAAGTCAAGGGCGGCAGCCAGGCAGGCAGCGTTGTACCAGAGAAAGACCCCCCCACCTCCCCACTGATGATTCAGGCACTAACTAGTAAAAGGAGTGGGGTGCGTCCGCCTGTGGTGGGGGAGGTGTGTCAGGGTGCAGCTGGCATGGGGAAGAGCAGGCCCCCTCGACTGTGCCAACAAGCTGGGGGCC